ACTTGAGACAAGAAAAGAGAGAGAGTTGGGATCGTTTAAGAATCTTTAATTTCTTAATTATAAATTCTTAACAATCTACCAGGACTAACTCTGTGATGGATGAAAATGGATTTGGATGTTGTGTTGGTGCGTGTGTGTGTGTTGTTCAGGATCTTTAGGCTGACGGAGCGTATCTGGTTGTTATGACTACGGACCACGAGGCTTCGGAAGCTGATGACATGAGCAGCTATTTTGCCGTGTACGTACCCTGTGGAGTCTCCCAGGTAGATCAGGAAATGCCAGGTCCTAGGACCTCGGATGTGTACTGGAGTTGGTTGAAGCAGCGGTCACAGCACGTCAAAGCCCGTCTGAAGGGTCGACCCCGGTACCATCGGCAGCGTCAGCTAGTGGTGCTCTTATTTTGAAGGGACGTCGTCTTGTTGGTAAACAACGGAACTCTCTAGTAGCTTCACAGTTCTTGATTTAAAGAAGAAAGCACATCTGGCCAGGCTGTACTTCTCTTTTGATGACGGTGGAACCCCATAGGACTTCCAACTGAACAGAACTGAAGTCAAAATGGAACTGCTCATAAAATGGCGTTGCCTTGTTTTTATATCTCTGAGTTGTTTTAAGTTTTAGTAAACGGGATTGGACACTTTAATTCAACAAGCCAGATTCTCTTACGGCAGCCGAAAGCTCTGATTGGTTGGAACAATGTGTCATGCGTTTCTATGGAGATGAGGGTCAGTCTGTCTGTGCAGTAGTCCTGTTTTCATTAAACACATAAATCATGACATCTTTATTCCACAGATCATTCACTTGATTATTATTGATCAACATCTGTTTCGACTAGCTTTAATCACAAATTAAGTACTTTGATTATTGAAAAGCGTTCTTCTTCTCCTTCTGGCTCTTCTCCTGGAATGTAAACAGTCTGAGGAACACCCGACCTTGGCGTTTTCTACACGGGTGTTACTGTGTACAGGGGCAGCTGTGTGGAGCTGAAAATTATGAACTTCATAACGTTACATCATTTAATTAGTCTCTTTTAGTGTGTTTCTTTCCCCACCGTTTTTTTTGTTCTCCTTCCTCCTTAGATCATTAGTTATTTATCTTACTCTTCTAGTCTTTAAGTTTTGTTTTTATTCGTAAGTCGTGTTATTTTCCCCTCCTCAGCTCACCTTCCTCTCCCTGATTAGTTAAATTGATTTCACTAGGTTTCTCTTCCTACGCACCTGCAGCTCATCTCCCAATCATCGTGCCCCAGTGTATTTAACCCTGTCTACGTCACAGTGTGGTGTTGGTTCATTGTACGTGTCAGCGTCGTTTTGTCCCCCCTCCCCGTAGGTCACTAGGATTTTTGGCTTCTGCCCTACCAGGTTTTTGTTGGCTCTGCCCTCCTAGGAATGTTTGGCTTTGTGCCCCATTTGGTTAAGACTCATCATCTTAATGAAGATGTCTAATTTTACATCTTCTCCTGCTGCGAGTCATTCTGGGTATCTGCATTTTGGGTTATACTCCTCCTACTCCAACCCTCGGCATGACACAGGGAGCCAACTTCCTGTGCTTAATTACCTTCTTCTACATTAGTCTAAGTCTATAGCAGCATAAATGGATGGTTAGAATCCTCATGAGTGTTCATTAATAACATTTGAGTTCCCAGAATTAAGTGAAATCTAACCATACCATTTCATAGTTTATTTATATAGCACATTTAAAACGCAGCATGGGCGCTGCCCAAAGTGCTGCACAGGCTAAAACAAAACGCGACCATTCTAAGGAACTAAAACAGAAGATAAAAATCCCAATCAAAAGCAGATAAAACATGATGAATACTAAGAACACATTAAAACAATGACACAATAAAACACTAAAACGAGTCACTGTCTAAAAACCAAATCGTAAAAGTGGGTTTTTAAACGACATTTAAAAAACGCCAGTGACGGAGCCTGCGGGCAACGAGTTCCACAGCT